GCCTTCCACGGAGGACTTCCCAGACCACTATGGTTTTGACGAGTTACTGAGCCTACGGCACATGAAAAACCCCGGGGTGATAAAGGCAGATGCATTTGGCTCAAGGCTCAAGGCGGCTTTGCTTTGGAACATGCCGCCATCAGCCGACCAAAAAAATATGACGGAAGGAATCGTCCACTGAGATCAAGACCCAGTCGGCCAACCCAAAAACGCCAGGAAGTAAGGCATATCAACGACATGAAAAACACAAATGTTGCACAAACATTGAAGAGGAGGCAACCCCCCGAGGAGCAAACAGACCTGGTTGACATTTTCGGCATCTTCAATGGTTGACAGGAACATAGCATTGGTCGGGGTGGTCAAACTGGGCAAAAACTACTGCAGGTGTAGGATAGGTTGTGTAGGCTAGCAGAAAGCCACTGACGTCGCACAAAACCCCGCTGAATCTCGCTGACGAGTTTTTCGATTCTTCATTGTCCAGGTCCACGCATCCTCCGGCAACAATTGTTTCCTTCTCCGTTTGTTCCTCGCAAATTTGCGCTTGGCTGGGAAACCTCCGGCATTTAAATCCTCTGTTAAAACTTCCCCCCTCTTATCACGTAACTCATTCTGTAGGCCTTCGATTTTACCTGCTATGTTTGCCTCGGGTTCCCTAAGTCTGCTCGCATCCTTGTTCTCAGTGCTGCAATGGTGGTTGCGTTCATGTCAACCCTGCTGGTTTCAATCTGGCGACTTGTTACCCGTGGTTGCTCAAAGTTCTTGGCGCCACTTCCTTTGCTGCCTTTGCCCGGGCCGACGCTTTTCTGTCTGGTGCAAAGGTTCAGCCAGAAGATGGCACACAACAAACTATGGGTTTTTGAGAAAAGATCTGTTGAGGGCAAATTTGTTTTTAGACGAAACCATCATGATGACACCCCCAATCTGGATAGTGAATTTAGGTTTGTCCAAGGCACTTGACAAAGTCTTTGGCCAGCATTGTGGCGTGTGTTGCGCAAACAAAACATTTCGGATCATTAACTTTGGGTATTGGTTTTTGTGTATGCTCATCAAGTTGGACAAGTCATGGGCGAAATGGACGACAGCCAGGAAATTCCGTCAGGTGTTCGTCAGGGTTCTGAACCCGCGTTTGGTTTGCGCCGTTCTGGAAGACGCCATGAGGCATTGGACACAAACTGTGGGGGTTTTCGGTTTAGACTTACAAGATGGCCTGCCTCCTTTGCTTGATTTATGATTTGCTGATGATATTCCTATTTTTGAATCTTCATCACGTACGGTGCTCATTATACTTCCCAAGCTTCTCCAAGCACAACGCTGCAAACGGGTGGTCCTCGGGATCGAAGTGGGGGGCCGATTTCAGCCAGGAGTCTGCCAGCTTACCTCGGCTACTGGCAGCCGCCACAACACGCTCTGTTCCCCCTTTGCTGCGACCATCGGCTGCAACGGCATTCATCTTTCGCTGGTCAGCTCTGCTTGTTGCAGCTGCCTTCCGCTCATTCGCCGCCAGCTTGGTTCTTGAAGAGACTGCCGTCCACTCCAACGTCCATGCAGACCCTCCGCTCCTCAGGGACATCCTTTGGGAAACACCCCCAGCACCAGTGGTCTCCCGCCTCGCGCCCTGACGGGCCCCCGTGGCTTGGACTTTAGCCCGTGTCGGTTGCTGCAGTGCTGGTCCCCTTCAGCGCCCCTTAAGCACATCTGGCGACGGGCAAGTGGTCACAATGACAAGATTCTTTTGGCAATTTTCATGACATCGTAATGCAGTGCATTTTTCTTTTCCACTCGCGTGTGCCTTAAAGGGGCCCGCCTGATGATGCCCAGGCATAAATTTCGATTCAACTGATGAAGAGCAGAAGCTGCCAGTTGTCCCGGAAGAGGTGGTGGACTTGGGGTGTTGTACGGCGAGCCTTGTTCGAAGGTGCTGCGGAGGAGAGAGAAAGCAAGGCTGACCGGCCTGTGTTCCATGGTCTCGGGCGGCAGGTCCATTGATGTTCTCATGGCAGAACAGGACTCCAACATCCACCCCATGTTACGAGCAGGCCTTTAGGGAATCATCATCTTGAAGAACTTTGGATGGACGTTGGCGATCAGCTGCCTAGAGTACAAGAAATGGCAAAGTGGCCTTGGCCACCTGGAAGGGCCTCGCTGCATGAAATCTACCCTGAGAAAGGCAAACGTGCCCATTGTCATTGAATGCTGCATAAATAGTTGCATTGCGCATTGTGGCCCTCTGCTGCAAGGACGAACTTTCATTGTGAAGTAGTGATGCGCCCACAGGCAGCCGCGCAGCCTAGCATCTCTTTCGCATTGCTGGTGCTCACCCAGGCTGGACGTTGAGAAGTGCAGGCGGTCGCGCTGTTTTTTCGAAAGGCGATCCGTAGAGCAAACCGGCGCTATACGTTGTTGGTATTGGTGGTGTATTGGCGTTTCCAAATCAAGCATTCCCGTGCCACAGAGCTGCAAAAAGGAAAAGAAGGATGTCACGAACATTCCTGTGGCTTGGAAGGCTACATTTGATGAGCCACGTTCAGCACCTCGCCTTTGTCCCCAGGCTGGCGCTTCAACGGCAACATCGGTGTCCATGTGGCTGTTCAAACCACGAGCTGTTGCAACCCGACGCCACGTTTCCAGGTGTGAGGGACCGCCCATGGCGAACCACCATCGCCGAATTCCAAGTGAAGGACATGCCAACATGGAGGGTTGTTGAGGAGAACGGGGGCCTGATGGACTTGCCGAACCACCAGCGCCCGTTGGAACATCGGGCGTCACGACTGGTGACGTTTTTTTTGAGCCCCGCCTGAAAGCAACAAAAAAATGAGACGGACGTTAAACCGTTCAGGTGTCCCGTGTTGCTTTCAGGCATGTGAGTTGACGTTGTGCACCGAACCGTAAAAGCTTTGCGCTGTTCTGGTGCGAGAAAGCGGAGCTCAGCAGCAAAGCATTTCGTTCGAACCCCTTTTTCCTTCCACTTGCGGCGCCCTTTGCTTCCATAACTTTCACCCCGGATGTGCAACCTGAGTCAATGTCGTCAATGTGAGGGAGTTCGTGGTGTCCCAGTAAGCAGGGACCCCGACAAATTTGTTTCGTGTGTGTGTGTGTGTGTCCTCTCTGGAGTCACGCGGTTCCTTTTGGATTGTTTTGCTTCACGATGTTCTTTTAGCAGGGGGCATGCAGCCATCACGCAAACGCATGCCAACGAAGCTATGCGTGATGGTGGAAGCCGGGTTTGATCAACCCGGCGTACCTGCTTTGGAAACTGTTGCCCGAGCTGTCATTCCAATTTTTGCTGATAAAGCTAATAAAGCGCTAGTGCGCTCTGCAGATGTGCACGGGCCATCGTCACCCTGTCGCGTTTCCGCAGTTGGAGCTCATGGCCTGTAGAGGTTCCGTGGAAGGCTCGTCAGTTACCACCTTCGGTTTTGGCGTGTGGCAGACTGGCAAGACAATTCAATAAGTGTGTGGCAAGACTGGCCACTGGCTGCTGAGTGTTGGCAGCCCATGCAGCAAGGTCAACGAAGTAATGGTGGAACGTTTTCGGGATCTTTCTGCAAGGGTTACATGATCGTCACCAACGCAGTTCCAAACAGCGCTAGATCAACATTTTTTGGATTTGTGTGATTGGGCTGCGGAGGCGAACCTTGACTTGAAAGACAGTGGGTAGACATGGGGCGGACATGGGCACGATGATGGTGCCTGAGTTGATGACCAGCAGGGCGTGGTGGCCAACCTTTGAGCAAGTAGGTGTGTTGCTGGCGAGTGCCCGAAACATGAAGGAGTTGAGGCCATTCGTATGAAACAGTTGGTGCATTGCCACGGGCGCACGGATGAAGAGGTGCAGGGGCCTGGGGACGAAATTTAAGTTAAACAGTGCTAGATTGGATAAATGGTTGTGGGGCTTCGGGCTTGCTCCTCACCCTTGACAGAGACATCCCATGAAAGCCCGAGGCTGGCCAATCCATCCGCCAGAAATTAGCAGTGACAAAGGTTTTGTAGCAGTGTACATGTGCATAGTTTTGTTGGGAACACGGGTGTTTCAACCAAAAGAATCTCGTTGTGTCGACATGTACCATGTCGGCGTCCCCGCACTTCGAACACCAGAGAGATACGGTATGTTTTGTCCAAGGAAGGGCCGCGTTTGTAAAAACTACATTTTTCGATGTGTTTGTTAAATCGAGGGTTGGGCACGACATAGGTTCATGTGTCTGGTTCCATGGCCTTGGCCCCTGCCTCCGGTTTAAACCGCAGTGGTCTTGGAATGTTGCCGAAGGGAAACTCGACAACAAAGGGGCCGTCGGGATATTGTTTTGAAGTGTTGTTGTCATTAGATGAAGCCAGCTGGCATTGAAATTGTTTTTTTTTGGCGACCGTGAGATGTCCATCTACAATGATCCTGTTAACGTCGCTTCGCATGCCGTAAGCTATTGTAGATCAAACGCATGCATTGCAAGGGTGTGTGGCAGCAATTTCGCAAATGACCAATGCCCGTGAATGTGTTGGACTCAATGGAGGCATGTATATAAGCTGGCAGCGGCCCAAAAAACAAAACAACAGCCTGGCCTAAATTTTCAAGCGCAGTGATGGCCCAGAACTATTATGATGTTCTGGGTATCACCCGAGATGCGACTGTTGAGGACAGCTCGGGGGTTTGGGTTCACAGGCCGGTGCACATGCTGCTTGTAGCAATCCCAGTTTTGCTAATCCAGTCACTTCAGGAAATCAAGCGCGCGTACAAAAAAGCGGCCTTGACCCACCACCCGGACAAGGCGACCGGTTTCAATGGGTTTTGCATGTATATACAGTAGTAGGTAGAGACAATTGCCACTGATGGACATGGTGTTGTTGGTGCGCCAATGGTTTGTTTGGTGTCCTGACTTTTTCGTGTGAAGCAGAACTAAACACATCTATCACACTTGATGTTTTGCAAGCATAAAAGGGATAGAGCCAGCTTATGAGAAACAGTTGCTCCGTCGCTTGTGCCCCAGGGTGGTGATGAAGACAAATTCAAAGAGTGTGGTGCCGCAGTGGAAACCTTGACTGATGAAAGGACCGCGCGGATTCATGCGCCCCATTGGCACAATATGCGCCGCAGCTTTGCAGGAAACGAGCTGCCTATGACTCCACTTTGGTCAGGCTCCGTTCCAAAGACGGCCTTGGCAGAAACTTGGTGGCGAGACATAGTGACGGTCATGGGGTCATACACCCTGTTTTGAGCGATGTCCAGCAGGTGGTGGACAGAAAAACGCAACCTCAAGAAAAACGATGCTTTTGCTGAGGCGGATTCCACAGGTTTTCCTCACGCGACTCTTCGAGTGAACGGCCTCGACCAGGCAGCTCTCCAATGTCATGATTCTAGCTGTGAGGACCTATATAGCTCTTTGACATAATGCAGAGCGGCATTAAATTCTATATTTAAGTCGCGCCAAGACTCTTTTGAGTGAAAAATGATTTGCGCATTGACTTTGTGCACTTTTGGCACCCTCCAACGCCACAATGAACCAGCTTCGTTTTGTGGCAAGGTGCTGTGCCTAAGCCGCCGCCAGCTCCGCAAACTGCTGCGCATGTGCCTCAGCCACCCAAAGCGAAAAAGAACGTGGAGATTCCTTCTGATCCAGGTTCGCCTGATTTGTTTTTGCTGGATTGAATTCAGTGAAGGCAGTGTTTTGTTGGACATTTGGTTTGGCCCATGGGTTAAAGGAAGGTGGTGACGCGCCTGTGTTGGTGGTCGGCGGCAGGTATCCTCTCTATCAAGGAGCTCAAGGAGTTGTTGACGGCTCTCGGCATTGATCACGATGGGTGCTTGGAAAAGGTGGGGTTCGTCAACCTGGATTTCAAACAAATCTTTTGCTGGGTTTTTGTGTGGACATTGCGAAATTCAAGCGAGTCAGGCAGACTTGCTCGCGCTGCTTCGTGACAGAAAGGCCATGTGTGGTGTGCCGTTTGCACCATCCCCCTTTCCCTATTAGCTTTGTTGCACACTCTCAGTCCTGCAGCCAGGAACGAAAAAGTGCCTTGGTTTGATGCAGATGGTGTGACCAAAAGGCGCAGGAGGCTTTACAGAACAACACGCGCACATGTGCAAGGTTCCAAGACCATGCACAGGATTCCTTACGTCGTTTCCAGCTGCCTCAATTTCAGTATATAATTCCTTAGGCCAAGGCCTGTGAACCAGTAGGGTGCTATGGGAATATGTCAATGATTGATTTTCGGTCTTAGCCAGCATGTAACTTAAGTGGACCAATGTGGATCGGCGATTTCGCCAAATTTGTTGAATTGATGTAGAACCCAGGGGCCTTGGCTTGAGCCAGCTCCTAATAGCAAAGCAGGGGGTTGTGGAAAACATTGAAGGACAACAAAGGAGGCAGACAAATGAGGTGAGTGGGTATGTTGAATGGGTCCTTGGGTCCTTGGGTTCGAAGCCATGCGCGATGGCTGAACCAAAAAAAAATTGGGTAGAGTACTCAGTTGGCAACTAATTTTTCTCAATTATACAATTTGTTTCTTCTCCGAGAATGTGTGGAGAATCTTGATGAAACCAAAGCCGGAGAATCAAATTGATTGGTTTTTTTGGAGTGTGCCTTGGATCAAACTATGTCTTGTTAACACACACATGGGTTGACCCCCAATTAGCAATCAAATAATCATGGGGAATTAGGCCATCAACTAGAATTGATCACACGTATTTCCTATAGGCTTTCAGAATCATAAAGAATCTGACAGGAATTTCACAGTATATACAAGAAACTGCAGACTATGACTTTGGGGGCGTTGTGGGGAGGGAACGCCCAGCCACCCTACAAATCCATGCGTTGGAAGAAATTAATTGAGGGGGGGGTGGCCTTTGGAGGAAGGGTGGGCAATTTAAGGTTTTGCCGGGGATACTCAAAGTTTATCCAGTGGTTTGCGAGCGCTCGGCCAATTAAGAGGCTTCCCCAAGCAGAATCTGTAGAAAATTGATCTAGGCCTAGAGTCTGGCTCAGTTAATTTCCGAAAACATAGAAAAACTTGCAAACTTATAGGTGCCCTCAACTAAATTTTAAAGCTAATTGTTCACCCCCTCCCAGTGCCGCATCTATCGTACGGGGTCACAAAGAGAGTTGAGTGAACTGTTTGAAAGATTTGTGTTGTTTAATTTCTGTCACAACTCTGACCGTGCAAAGCTAAAATGCAGTGTGGCTGGGAACAACGCCTTTATATACAAATATATATGCTCATACACATACACACATAAATACATATTTGTTATATGAATAAAGCTATAGGCAACCGTTTGCAGACATGAGAGACAGGATTTGACGTAGACTTTTCGTTCCAAACATTTGGGTCGCGACAGCTAGCGTTAGGCTAGCGGAGGTTGTTCTTGCCCTAGCAAGCCAGGGCAGGCCTGACACCAACACACTGATTATCACTAGAAACCTCCTCGCCTGAGGCCATCGAATGTCGATAAAAGAACGTGCATTTGAGCGTTGATGCTCAGTGCAGACAAGTCACGTTAAGCTGGCCGTTGTGGTCAAACATCCTCGATTGTTTGAGCCACAAAGTGACGCACTCTTGCAACCGACTTCCCCAGCTTTCCTTACCCCCGCCGGCCTGTCTAGGCCTCATGTTAGCCAACAGGTTCATTCGGTTTGGAGACTGCAGTTGTGTGAGGTAGCATTCTTAAAGAAGGTGTACATGCTAAGGTGGTGATACACCTCGTGAGTCGAGCGTGCCCAAACCGCCGCCGGCTGCATCAGTCAGAAACTTACTGTGCTGGAGGGGCTGCAGTGCATGCAACACTAGCAGTGTCTAGCAAGCAGGGATCATGACCTTTGAATTTGCTTTGGGGCTGGGTTTTTGCACCCATTTCAGCTGACCAACAAGCTAAGCATCAAAGTTGAATGATGAGGCTGCCCCTTCGAGCAGCAGCAGTGCAACAGCCGGCAGAGCTTTAAGGGTGAAAGTCATGTCTATAGGCTGGATCAGTCCAGGGGAACGCCGCGACTGTATTTTTCTTTGCTTCCACTGAATTTGAAGTGCATAACATGTGCCAAGACCCAGACTTTTGACTTCAGCCGTGTTTCTTGGCATCCCTAATTTGCTTTGAACAGCAAACGGAACAATGTGACTTGGTGTCCGAGCACGTCTGTGTGGACAAGCGTGTCAGCTGGCTTGCCGATCGAAAGCATGCTCCTTCCACCAAAAAATGCTGACTTTCAAACATAAATGCCAACTCACTCATCTCTACAAACATTTGCACACATATGGCTCGTAGGAGGTACGCCACAAAACGCCTGAAGGACAGGACAAAACAAAGATCACACACAGATATGAGCCAGTGGATTTTAAAGGTTCAGAATCGAAAAGTACCAACACACAAAGGTCTACAGACATTGTGCCTTTGGATTTTTCAAAGCTTCTGCAGTACTTAGTTGGAGAACCGCTCATGATTTATATAATGATTTGCTCCAAGTCAAGCCAAGCGCAGGCTCGGCCACTGTGGGTAAAAGCACCCTGATCAAGCGCTACTGTGAGAGTCGCTTCGTACAGAAGTACATTCCCACCATCGGCATCGACTACGGGGTGAAACCCGTGAGGGTCTTGGGCCATGACCTCAAGGTGAACTTCTTCGACACCTCAGGACTTCGGTGAACGTCTGTGGCACGGGGAACTTAAAGGACAACAGGGACATCCGATCAGAGCGGCAAACGCGGAGAGTCTTTGCGCGGTCATCGCCATTAGGTTGGAGGCCATTACTACTAGTAACACAAAGCTATATACTAGGAACAGGTTTTTATCAATGACTGAGCACTCGCGCCCAGGAGGAGATGAGTTTCGGGAAATTCGGACAGAGTTCTATAACATGGGGCACTCGAGCGACGCTTGGCGTTTGAGCTCTTAGGTTGGAGGGTTGGAGGCCATCGCTCGTAGGTTGGAGGCCATCGCTAGTAGGCTCGAGGCTATCGCTCTTTTTGGTTGGGGGCCATCGCTAGTAGGTTGGCGCTTCGATCGTCGTCTTTCCCTGTGATGCGCTTTGTTTGCTTTGTCATTTGGAATGGGCATGCTTCCATCGAAAGACAAGGCTGAGGTTTTGTTTGACCTTGACCCACTCACAAGGCCATCCTGCTGGTGTATGATGTGACGAATAGAAAGAGCTTTGCCGACCTCTCCCTTTGGTTGGAGGCACTTGATTTGTTTTAAACCTTTCAAGTGGCCACTCTCTTCTGCCATTTCCACATGAAGTTATATATTCAGAGTTGAACACTGACAACAGGAGGCCCAAGCACATCACTGCCCGCTGATGCCTGGCAGCAGGGGAGAGGCTGAAAAGGTGATGCAGTGAGTTGTGGTGGTTGAGCGTTTCACAAAAAGAATGGATGTTCGATGAACAGTGAATTGGCTATGATTTGCTGAGCTGTACTCAGCAATTGGCAAGGAGATATTATACCTGGATCTTCCAGCCATGCAGAACTGTTGTTTGTGTTGAGAACAAACCATGCAGAATTGGGAAGATCAACTCTTCAGTGTTCAATTGGGGGTAGAAAAACCGAGGTCGCGTGGTGCCCCTGGCCGTCGCGTGGCGCTGTGCGCCAACAAGTTGGACCTGGGCCGCCGCGCTGTCAGCCGCGCCGAGGGCGAAGACTTCGCCGCCTCGCATGGCATGCGCTACTTCGAGACCTCCGCGGCGACGGGGGGAGCAGGTCACAGAGGCGAGACGGTCGGGGAGCGGAAAAAAGCCACATGGGTGACCTTTGGGCAAAGACAGCAAAGGATGAAAGACTTGGTCTTTTATTTGGGGCACGGTGAAGGACTTCGACCTCGGCAACACGTTCTTTAGGCTTTCAGTCTTCTTTAGGGAAATTCACACAGGCGTCCTTCCAAATGCAAGGTTTGGGCTTTCCTTCTCTTTGCGTACATTGTATACGTCCCAGTGTGCACGCCTGCGACAGCAAAGTTGGTCAGGCCATGAATTACCTGTTCGAGCAGGCGGTGCCGCTCGGGAGGAACAAGACTCGGGACCAATCTGGCTTTGTTTGGTTCGTGGGTTTCGTAGCCCTTCTTCCTTCTGTATAGTCCTCGTCATGCAGACGCACTTTACAGTAGCGGAAAGACTTTTGTATAGGAAGAAGGAGCTTGTTCCAACTGCAGTCATGCTCGCCTAGGAATCATCACTTGGAAATTGGCAGGAAGTCTCTTGGCAATACTTGGCAACATTGGCTCCTTGCCTAGCCTAGCCTTTTGAACGAACAGGTTTACAGGCAAAGAGGTGAAGAGATTCTGGAGAGAGTGCCCTCAGGATTGCCATGGGTGCTGGGTGAGGGCGTCGTCTGAAGCCTGCCAAATTGTCCACTCAGTCCACGCTCTTTGGTTTGTCATTCGTATATATATATATATACTTATACAAATATACATAAATACATATAGAGAAGCAAAGACTTACGAATGTCAAAAGAAGGGCGCCATTGCATCGTCACCTGTTGTCACAACGTTTTACACTTTGCATGTAGCAGAATGACAAGAAGCTGTGTCATGCTGCACGCGAATGGGCTTAAAATCCTGCCTGCCAGCACCTACTCTAACTATTGGACCTATTGTTGAACGATTCAGTTGGTTGTGCACAATATTATGTTGCAATTGGTTGCTTTGTTGCTAACCAGGCCACCTCTTTTTTGGGTTCTTTGCCCATCCTTTCGGAGAGACTAAGAGGGTCTCTTGCAGCTTTCTATTTTTTGTTCTTGGATCGTCTCACTCAGCTTCTTTCGAGTTGCCTGGCATTGACCTCGTTCTTGTCCAAAGTTCTCTTGGCGCGTCATCAGCTGAATAGTATGTGCTGAGGTTGAAACATACTTGTGGTCTTGGACGTTGAGCTACAAGTTACATGCTTGACAGGTTTAGTATAGCCAGACCACTCAGGACCCACTCCAAGCCAGAAAGCTAAAGCACCTGCCATGGCTAGAGCATCGATCGGGACCTTTGACAAGTCAATTTTTTGTGTAGTAGTTTTGCAGCCGGAGCCTCCTGTGGCACCCTTGATAGCAGCTGTTCTGGCTCTGGCCTTGACCCTGTGCAATCCTCGAACGCGTGAGGCGTGGCATCTCCGAAACTAGATGTTCTTACGGATTCTTGATTTCAATATGTTAAGTAGGTGCGAGGCTCTGAACATTCTGGAGTTTGTCTGGCTGGGCACTTCGGTTCTCACGACTCGAAGCATGATAGAACTAGAGTTGCCCCAATTCTTTGCGAGAGGCTCTTGTAGAAATGACTCCTCGAAGGGTCTCGCTCCTGTCCGTTCTTGCAGCAGGCGGGACGTGTTCTGATTTGTCTATGCGACTAATTAGCCCTTCTACCCGACCCCTTGGTATGCATACCAGGTTTCGAGCAGGAAGTGACTACTACGCAATGAGATAAAAGAGTTCATGTGAAGGAGTAAGACCAAAAGAGGACGACCAATTCACGAAAGAGTGACACTTAAAGCGAATTCAAGAAGGATTGGGAGCAAATGACCTGGTCGGTGCCAGCTGCTTTTGATGATCATCGAGTCTTTTGCTTCTGCTTTCGGTCTAACCATCTCACCGACGTTATTCTGTAAAAAGTGCGTTGTCCAGAGCAATCCCACTGAAGAATGGCAATGCCGGAAGTAGAATATGAAATGGAGTGATAGGAAAAGGTATGAAGAGTGTTGGTGGTTGAGTTTGAGATGCAAGTGCATCATATTCTTTCAAGACATCCAGAGTACGGTCCTCATTTGGAAATACCGGCCTTGGAGAAATACCCCAAATACACTTCCGTTCGAAACCTAAATGTAATATGTTCATCTGACAAATTATGAAGAAGTGGAGTAGGCAAAGCTTGCAGTAAAAGTTTGGGAAGTTGCAAACTCTTGCAATATCAAATTGCTGAACTAGCTCCTGCTTGTACCATCACATCAACCTGGCATGATAAAGGACAAGAAGAACAAGGGCCCATCCCATAAGATTTGCCGGAAGCAATATATATATATATAATAATCGTGCCTCCACATTATAAATCCATCTGCTGACAGGCTTATTATGCGCTTAGACAAGTTGTGCAACTCCTCGCGGGAATGACACGAACTTCGTATAGCAGGGTGCAGCGCATCAGACATAATGCGAATGGGACTTTGCAAAACCCAATGCCTAATATCTAATGAGAAGCTGGTCTACGTATAGTTTCTGCAAGAGGCTCCTTTTTCTTGAGTTGTGGCGAATGTGTTAAGGTCCCCCAAATATTCACAGAGGCATCAAACATTTGCCGATCACATGTTGTATTACGATGAAATGGTCCCGAATAAGTTCTTGAAGAGCCCTGAGCAAACTCACAGTGAGACCGTATTTTTGAAATCCGAGATCTGAGAGGTTGGCCCTGTTGATGGATTGTTCTTTTGACGCAAATCCAGTCTGTGTATATAGTGGTATGTATATACAATGGAGAAATGTCCTGAGCCTTGGTCAATACACTGGACCATAGCCGATGCTGCTCTTTTCAATGCACTTGATGTGTCGCATGATCCGTCAGAAAAAAGGAGTATATAAGTGTGAACACTCCCCGATTTGAGGGCATTCAAATCTCTGCATGCCTTTGTCGGGAAGGTGTTGCAGATGGACTGTATAATTGAAGGAAAGCGAGGTAGTAACTGATAGAGGAGTGAGCGATTCTGGTTGAGCACTGAATTTGCTCTGACCATGTCGATTTCTGACCTCGTCGCGCAGTTTCTTCATTGGAACGCCTGCAGAGGCATGGCTTGCTGCATGACTCTCAACTTCCTCGGCGGCCGAACCTTGCGGGTGGCGCGTCCTGCCTTTGAGGCAGGGAAGTTGAACCTCGGTGTGGACGGAGCGGCCGCTTGGCGCCAGCTTGATGGCTCGTAGCTTTATCATGTACGAGAATTTCTGCAGTTCTTTTTTCTCAGGAGTCTGGGACTGTGCGCCGGTTTGGACGTCTGAGGTGGTGAAGTCCAAACACATGCCGGAGCCCGTTTTGGAAGCTACGGAGTCCACCAACGCGGCCATCCAGGTGGCTGGGAAACAGTTCACCCGGAGCCATGACGTTAAGCACCGCTGAGACCAAACAATTCTAGATTCTAGAACTGACAGAAGCTCCACGACTTTGCCCAAGTGTTTTTGCCGAGGCCTGTTTGGAGGAAGGCTGCTCGGTCGAGGCCTTGATGGAGTTGGATCAGAAGTTGGCCAAGGACGAGGCGGACAATTGCGGCGTATGATGCAGGTTGTCCAAGGTCCAAGGTCTAGGTTTTTTTGCGTGTTCAATGGGGCGAACTCCTCATGACTCAGTATGTCTACCAAGTCCAAGCCAGGAGTCCAGCGAGTTTTGTTTGTTCAAGTCTTGTCCTGTCCGAGTCCTGGCCCGGCCACTCCTCAGGCCACCATCAAAAGCACTTTGGACCAACTCCATAGCTCCCAGGCTGAGGAGTATTCTGAGGCGGCACGTGAAATTGGAGTCGCTGACCGTTTGGAGTCACGACTCTGCTACCAGACAATCAGATTGCAGTTGGCAAGACTGGCCTGGATAGAATACACAGACACAGCTTTTCAGTACTTCTTTCTTTGTTCTGCCTGTTTCGTAGGAAGGCAGTGAGCAGATTGCCTGGCTGAACAACTATTTGGACCGCAGTGGCAGCCTGCGAGCACAGCTTCAGGCACTACATGCACACTTGGAGATGAAAGGAATTCTGAATTCGTCTTTCTTTCAATCCTCGAGTAGCATGTGATTCACCAATTGTTCTGTTTGCTTCTGATTCTATATGAGCCAATGAAACTCTTGCCACGAAGACCTCTTTAAGGACCCAGTCTTAGCACAGTCTTTCATCACTTCGTTTACGGATCCTGGACCGGACAGTGAAGAAAAGCGGCAGGCAGTCAAGACCTTGGAGGCCGAGGGCAATTTGGTGGCGCAGATCATGAGGGCGGCAGCTGTGGCCTTTGGCGGCGGCCGCAAGGGCGACTACCCCAAGGTGGGAGGCCCAGTCTGAGGCCCTGAAAACTTCAGGTCATGAGCGAAGTGCTGGTTTGCTCATGTTCTAGCTTTTGGTGAGAGGTGTGATTCGGTGTGATTTTTATATAATCTGGAATTGCACGATTTTAGTTGATCTTCTTTTTTGTTGTGTGTGTGTGCGCGCATTTTTTTCCATGCCAGTATCGGGGCCTAGATAGGCATCACATTTCCATCGTCGACCTGTGATTTGGCCACCTTGGATTCCTAAGGTGGGCGTCTCGCCATACTCCTCTTGAACATTTGATCCTAGAGCATTTTGAAGTCTTGCCTCAGCTGAGTGGTCAAGGTGGGGTGCTCTCCACTGCTAAGCAAGCAGTTTGTTTTTGTTTTCGGGTTTATGTACGTTTCTTCGAAGACCACCCTGTTGTGGCAAGAAGCGGCTCTAGTGTGGCAAGACAAGCAGGTTCCCAACCTGGGGCCCAGAACTGTTGGGCCGACAATTCATCGCGGAAGGCTCTCCTGCACAGCGAGCTCTCAGATGCGAAGCTAGATGCATACATCGAAGTATATTGGTTCCTAGCAATTTGCCTACTCATAGTCTCGAGATAGACTCAAGACAGGTGAACTTTCACCGTATCCGAAAAGCACGAAAATGCCTTGTGTGCTTGGCATTCAGTGAAGCATTTCGTAAAAAAACTTGTCCACCTCGCGGCGATATCTGACCGCTCAAGGTTACATACCGTTACATACCAGCTTCAAAGGTGGTGTCATGTAGGCCGAGCAGACAGCAAGCATTTGCTGCACCTGTGCCGTGCAGCAGCCAAGGGATATGGCCTATGGCCTCAAACCTTTGTCATCATCACACCAAAAATGGGATCCATGGAATGTCGGCTTGCCTGCCATTCACAAAGATACTCAGGTATGATTAAGAGGAGGGAGTTTGTATTTAGCCACCCCAGAGTCCTTGCCTTGATCCATCAGCTTCAGCCAAGTCTGGCCAAGCAGAGTGCGGCCGGGGCCTCAGATGATCAAACAGGTGATATGCCCGGCGACATTCGTGAAGCGCACGTATGCATCCAAGTGCAGGCTGCAACACAGCGCTTCAAAATATAAGTTCTGCTCAGGCAAGATGGCGAGGCACAGAATGCTCAAGATTCTGCCTTTGACTCTGCTAGGCCCTTCAACGCTTTAGTTGACGCTTCGGTTGTTTGTGGTTGACCATGCATGAATCAGATTGTAAGTGCCTCATTGCGCAAATCCTTGTTGGCACGAGCCTGCAACCGCACCTTTAAGAACAGTTTTGCTTGTTTTAGTTCAGCCAACTGCATGTCCTTGTAAGTCAAGCCATTGTGAATGGCTTTTTGCCAAACACTGACAGCACATATACCCCTTTTCGGACTTGTTATGATGGACCAGGCATGTTCTATTTCGCCACAGTCTAGCCTAGAAGGACAGAGAAGCCCGTAAATATGTTGGCTTTGCGAAGGTTTGTGTAAGTTATTGGACTTGTTAAAGTTTTTGGACGTGATTTGTTCTCTAAAGCTCTGGAGCATGATGACAGACATTTTGTACAACCTCATCGTGCTTGACTTATCCTGTTTCACTTGGCGCTCTCCAAGAAGAGGCCAGATTGAGTTGCGCCAACGTGCAAACAGGCATATTGGCCTGGTGCTGCTACAGCCCGTCCAACTTCACCACAGTAAGGTGTGACCGTTGGGTTTTGGCAGATAGCCAGGCACCAAGCACGTCAACTTGCATGGAGTGTAGAACTAAGGTGGAGGCCATGGATTAAAACCTAATAGCGATGGTTGCATTCATGAAAAAATACCGTAAACTAGTCAAGATCGGCATGGCCCCCATGGAGATTGGAAAGGGTTGTCTCGAGATTCTGTGAGTGTTTGCGCAATACAAGAATCGGTCAAAGGTTTCACGGCCTCTATTTATCAGATGCTCAGCATTGAATTCACTGTTTGGAAGGGAGGGCTTGGCGTGTCTCATCATTGATGTTGCTGTAGAGGCTTCCCACACCACGTGGACGAGGATTGCGCTGATGACAGTGGGCAAACAGCTTAACCAGCAGACACTTGATTCATGGACACTTCATACCAACCTGACAGTTTGGTTGAATTGACATCAGGAGAAAGTTGCTTGTCTCCTGTGGCGTTGAGCCGTGTTGAAAATGTTCGTTTGGTCAGCAGGAGGCGTGATGCTAGCGGCCTTCCCCAGGCAATCTGACCCAGGAACATGGTGCGGAAAAAACGCCATCAAGTGATTCGCTGGCAGGATCAGCAAAGACACATTGTTTGCTGCGAGTTCAAGTTCGGAGCATGTTGTCCACATTGAAAACCCTTGAGATGAACGTGCACTATCATGATGGCATACGCACACACACTCACACCCGATCGTGCGCGCGCGCCTATAGGACACTGCGCAAAGATCGAAAGACTGCGATGTTTTGCCCTTCAATTGAAACCGATTCCTAGTGAAACGATTCCCAAGGAAGCTTCTAGTTACTAGAAAGCTTCAAAGACATACTAGGTACTAGAGAGCTTCATTGTTACTACAGGTGAAACGATTCCCATGTTATATAACCTTTGGCGTGCACCGGATTGTGTCAGCCCAGTGGGCCCAAGCTACCCTTGCTATGTCACTCTAACTTGCAGGAGGATGCCGGTATTTTTGTGGTCTTGCACGGGTACCCCATAGTTGTGGTGAACCATGCGCGACAAAAGGGGGCAATTCCACGCCTATGGACCCAAAGCGTCTGATGGGTTCGCGCCAGGGCGAATCCTGGTGGTGCAGCGGAAAAGCTCAGAATTGCCAAGTACGAGAAGGAGGCCGGGTGCCAGTTGCTTGCCTTTGCCATCATTGCTGGCGCTTCAAGAGGTCAATAATTAAAGCCTGAAGACAGAATTCAGCCTTGAGTTCACTTGAAGATCCAAAAAGCCAATTACATAGCTTGTCGACAAAGCCTCTGATTTCCAGACCTGGTTCCCTGGAACTCCGCAAAGTACAAAAATGCAGTTGCGGTGTTCTTGTGTTTGCGGCTTTGATCATTGCAATTTGAATGAGTGACTGGTGCACTCCCTTTTGAGGTTCCAAACGTTTGGAGACAGCCGTGTTTGGACCACCACTCATCTGCCAGGAGGAGGCTGCAGCCTTGCATCTTGTCCATGAAATCGCTCGGGCGACTGATCATCGTGGATAGTGTCTTCGGAGGTTCATCGCAAAGGTGTGTGTTCTCCCAGCCCATGAGAGATTGAGGGATCATCAGATGAACCAGATGTTTGAAGTTCGGGTAAGAACTAGTGAAATGTTGTATTGTTTTGCAAGGTCACGCCCTGGAGCCTCTGCGTGAGATGGGAAACAACAAATCCGACTGTTAGACCTGGTTGCATTTTGCCCTGAACAACGGAGCAGATTGGTAAGGCATTGTAACTGCCCCAAAAACCATTTTGTCCATAGCTGAGGGTGAAGGCAGAGAAAGAGGAGGAAGAGGATCCGGAGGGTACCACTGAAGAGAAGATTAAGGCTGGTGGAGCCCCTTGGCAAACAACACCGGCCCTTTGCCGCTTTGCAACCGAGTTGTGCTGAGAGAGAAGAGAGAGAAGAGAGAAAGAAGAGAGAGAAGAGGAGAGAAGAGAGAGAAGAGGAGAGAAGAGAGAGAAGAGAGAAAGAAGAGAGAGAAGACAGAGAAGAGAGAGAAGAGAGAGATAGAGAGAGAGAGAGAGAAAGAAGAGAGAAAAGAGAGAGGAGGAGAGAGGAGACGAGAGGAGAGGAGAGACGAGAGGAGAGAGGAGAGGAGAGAGGAGAGAGGTGGAGAGGAGAGCATCACAGAATCGCCTCACAAAGTTCTGGGTTCTGCACCTGGGTGCGGGCGCACTCAGATCCTTTTTACCTACGCCATGTTCTTCGTGAGCCTTGGCTTCCTGTGACCGCGACGGGGCCTGTGCTGAAACGGAGACACGGATGCCGCAGAGGCAGAAGGTTCCAAGCCAGTAAGGATGTGCCAGCGAGACACGCGGAGCCGTCGAGGGAGATGCAGTGACATGAGCCTAAGGATTCCCATCACCATCTTCGGCGTCGTGCTGCTGGGCATTTGGACCCCTGGCACGGAGATCGATCGTGGTGTGCCGGTCTTAGGTGAAAGTGAAAGCCAGTCCACATGGGTCTTCGTTCCAAGACGGTTGCTTTGAGTGAAAAGTGCCAGATCCCTGCGGATTCGCCCAACCGCAGCATGGGCGCGATCTCGCGCTATGACGAGAAGATGGACCAGTTGAGGTTGGATCACTCGTCGGGGGTCGCGGCATAAACGGCTTGCATTGGGGTGAAGCCAAAGGCGGTCAAGGTGCTTGCAGAAGCTGCCCAAGTGTTCAGGTATGATGACAACTGACTGCCTGACTCTGCCACACGTGCACATAGCACACGCTTCATGGATGCGACTTCTACTTAGCTACTTACTGTTGATCCATTGATGGCTGCTCTTTGTGCCGTTCAGGCTTGAGCAGCAAAACCGCCCCGAGAAGGAGTACTGATCGCTGAGTGAGGTTAAATCCTTAGCCACATTGTTTCAGAGACTCGAGGCAAATGGGTGGAGACACAATCAGAAACATGTGAAGGCATGGTTGAACTGCATTTTTGTTGTAAAGTATTTATAGGCATTTTTAGAGAGATGCCCCTCCACCCTGTGAGGCCACGTAGGCCACAAAGTTGCCAACTTTTAGGGCCTCTCAAGGTCGTCACCTTGGGGTTCATTGTGGGTATGTGCAGTATGTCAATTTTGGCCTTTTGGTCAGAAGCTTTAAGGCGTACTATGTGCAACTAGATCTGGTTTTGGGAGTGTGGAAATTTTGTATCGGGGACCTGGGGCGCGCACACAACACGGTTGGTGGCATGTGTGAATTAGGCTGCATGAGTGCCACTAGCTCAATGAACGGCAGGTTGCAATCCACGACTCATGACTCTTCAGTCCGCGTCGGGGAAGGACACTGAGGGCTGGAACTGACTGACCAATCTGACCCGCAAGCGGCTTGTTCACTCTGTGTCAGAGGGTCCGAACCCGCTAATTTTTTGCTCAAATGCAGGTAGAGGCAAACAACTGTCCCAGACCCTGGACCCCTGCAGTTGGATACATTGACATATATACAATATAGAAATATATATATATATATATTGATGTACAAATTTATTTAAGTATATATACTTACTTACTTTGAGCGATCCCCACCCTGAAAGGCGATTTGGAAGAAGGCGGGCACATGTGATTAGCCTGACAAAGGCGGGCATGCGGATTGACGCAATCTTCTGACGCTTGTTCTGGCATCACGTCTGGTTTGTGCTCTGACACATCATCTGCCGTGAAGGCTGGGAAACCTCCTGGGCTCTGTTCTGACGTCCTTGTTGGCATGTGTTCTGACATTTCTCACGCCGTGCGCCGTGAAGTCTGACATGTGCTGTGACATATGGTCCGACTTCGGTCCTAGCATGTGCTCTGACATGTATTCCGACATTATTCTGCCATCGGAGAATGCGTTTCTCTACATGGCACATATTCTGGCGTTGAAGCTTGCCTATCTGGCATAAAATAAGACCCTGGCATATACTTGGGCATTCTATCTGGCATAATTGCTGGCATTCTATCTGGCACAGTATCTGGCATACATTCTGGCATTGTGGCAGCATTTGGCACACATTCTGGCACTGTATCTGGGGCACACTATCTGGCATAATTCTGTCTGGCATACACTCTGGCATTCTATCTGTCTGGCATTCTACCTGGCGAGGTCCGGCGGTGCCCAGTGCGACTGAGGGCTGGCTCTTGAGGTCCGGCGCCGCCCACTGCGATCCAGCACTTGCGGTTGAGGTCCGTCGGTGCCCACTGCGATCAAATACTCGCAGCTGAGATCGGGCACTTGCAGTTGAGGCCTGGCGGTGCCCACTGCAATCGAGCACTTGCAGTTAAGGCCCGGAGAAAAGGAGGTCACGTGGCGGGTGGGGAAAAAACACTTCATTGTCACGTGTGAGCCTTTCATTGCTCTTTACATGGGAGTTGGCAGATTCACAGATGCCGCTGGACCACTGGACCAGCCTTGTGCGCTTGTGTAGCACCGCCCACTTCACTTCGCAGTCAAGTCCAGTCACCCAACCCACCCAACGACAGCTGTTCCTCAGCATTCAGCACGTTCATACCCCCAAAGAAGGTCACCCGGGGAGGTCGCAAGTCATGTGACAAGCTGTATGTGAGGGTCCGTCGGGTCTGCATGGCGAGCTGCTTTTGTGGGGCCCCAGCGGTCGCTTTCTGTGAGAAATGCGGCGCGGGCGGCGTGTTTTGCGAGAAATGTGCTGACGTGGGCCACGATGCGCACAAGGAGTGGGCAACGATGCCACGCCCTCCAAGTTGGCTAGCTTTGTGTAAAATTTTGGTGGGTTGCGAGGGTCTGCCAAAGATTGACCACGTGGTGAGAGGTGCGAGGACCAGCCTTCCCCCGAAGTTCAACAGTGGACCTAAGTTTCGCCAACCCATGTTTGTTGGAAGGAGGGCATCCAGTCTTTATGCAGTGAAAATTGGTCATGTTGGAGTTCCTGAGGGCCAACTGCACACATGTGAGGCGTCTTCCAATCGGGAGGTGCATGTTTGTTACTGGGTTCCACTAAAGAGACCCCGACAACTTATAACAGTGAAGACCTTGAGAACTTGAGATAATGACCCGCATCAGGAGGAATGCAAGCGTCGCCGGCGCACTGCCAAGCAACGTGTGCGCAGTCTGCCCTGCGGCACGACCTTGCCTCTTGGATGCAGCAAGTCTCCTCGGTTGTTGGTCTTCAGTCTTCCGTCCCAAGTGGGACTAGAATGACTAGAGCTAGAACAACTTGTGTTTCTATGCTTTGGACCGATTCCCACAAAGACATCCTCCTTCTTTAGTTTCTGGTGGGGGAGAGCCTAGTGTAGTCTCTCCAAATCCCGCAGTGAGGTGTGCCAAAATCTTTGAAGATCCGTAGTGAAGCCAGGTGATTATTTTTTTCATGACTGCCTTCACCGGAGGCTACAGCTGGGGAGGCTTTGCCGGCAGTGGCGCCGATGTCCTGCGTACAAACGCTTGGTCGTGCCACTGGGCGAAAAACATGCACAGCCACCCAAACACTTTTTTGGTGGTTGAAGGGTTGTTGACTTCCAGGTGGATTCTGATTTGGCTTGGCGCAATGGAAATTTTCATGCCAAGGCTTGGGCCAGAAGGTTGAGAGAAGAGGTTGATGTTGGGATTCTGAACTTGGCGTTGTATTGCTGTGCACATCTCTGCGCCCTTTGCGGCGGGAGGTTTGAGCTTTGGGAAGATAGAATGCAGGCTTGCGGGATAGACTGGCCGGACGGAGTGTTGCTTGATCGGAGCTGGGTGTGGTAGTGTATTTGGCCTGTTTTGGGTAATGTGGGTGTCACGCTTCCCCGCATGACATCCGCATGGCTGGCAGTCTCAGTGATCCCATGCATCATTTGGCGCCATGATGCCATCATTTTGGTATCTGAGCCTGATTCTCAGAAGCCCTGGCAACTGACAGGATGAGACATTCAAGGAGGCTGGGTGGTCTGCGAGTGCTGTGGCCCAAGGATTGGTCAGTGCACCCTTTATATAACACGCATGGAAGCCTTTGTTTTTGATTGGCCTTCCGTGCCACGGATGGCGGTGCCACGGATGGCGGATGGTACTGGAATCCAACAATCACTAACCGCACAAGATGCGCAAGTCCCGAAAGGGCTGGCTGTGATGCTCAAGAATCACAATGCAGTCCGTCGTGTGGGCAGGTTGAGCATGAAGACTCGCCGCCTGTCAAGAACCAGACGTCATCCAAGCAAGCCTTGACTCAGGCGTGGAAGCAAAAAAGAAGCTGGCTACGTAGGTTTCTCTGGGTTTCAGTTTCCTCAGGGGGGTGTAAAACACAAGACTCCGGCATTTGGAGCGGAACGAAGATTTGAAAGTGTCCGGCATCAAAGAAGTGGCAGCCAAGTCTTCAAAAGATACAAGATCCTTCCAGTAAAGATGAATGTGTTGGCAAAAGATATCGAAGAACGCTGGAATGATGGAAGTCCTCAGCAGAATTTTGAGATGCTTTTGTCAGGATGCACATGCAGCACCATCTCCTCTGAAGGGGGATCCTTTTTCCTCTACTACCGTGGCAACAAATGAGGCTGGGTATGCGTCGCCAGAGGAGCAACGTGAAACCGTCGTGAAGGAGCAATGGCCCTGAGGCAAACCGTTGGGAACACCTGATATGAAGTACCCGTAAATGCTTGCTTGGATCCCTTGGAAAAAATGTTAGCATCTCTGAAGGCAACGGATGTAGCCGTCGCAACACCGGCAGCGGCTCCTCCAAGTGATTCCTCGACGGGCCCAGCATGGAGAGAGGCTGGCAGTCAACAGTTTTGTTAGTATCGCCCAAGTAGTATCGAACAAGAAAAGAGGTTTG